CTTTTTAATAGTTTATTTATAAATCAACTGATGCATACATTGGAACACAATCACATGCAGCTCGTCATTCTAGGTGGAAAAATAACAGAAGAGAGAGTCTAACTTAGGCACCAAATAAAACACGATAAAGCTGTCTTTTACACAACGGTCTCACTACAGCAGCCACATAGAACATGTGGAGAGCACCTCTGTTGGCTTTTTATTTAGCAAGCAGGACCCTTTTGTGACCCAAACCATTTCTTTCTTTCCCATGGGTATTAATTGGCAGTCTAAAAATGTCTCCAGAGTGATGATGCCTGCGCTTTCTGACACTACTGGGTCACAGTACCCCAAAAAAGGTCCAGATATTAGCATAGATAGAAAGATTAATAAAACTGTGCCCAAACAGGACAGGTGTGAAAAATTGAATCCCAAGGGACCACATTGACCAAACATTTGCATAACTGTAAATAGAGGAACCTGCATGACCTTTGACGAAATTATGCAAATTGTGCTCCGGTTTGCGGCCAATCTAGGGGAAGGTCGAGCCATTTGAGTTTATACATTCACGTCAGTTTAATTTCAGTGCTTTCAAATTTTGGGGGGCAATGCTGGCATCATTAGGATATCTCCCTGGCCTCAATTAGATCACACAATAGCAACCATTAGTGTTGCTCCTTGCTTGGTGCAACCGTGCTGCGTTTCTGTCTGAGCAGACTGCATATCAAGTGGTGCCCTCAACACCATTCGTCTGCTAGTGGTATAATTACCAAATTATATGGGTTTGGGTCACAAAAGGGCACGTACAGCAAACAACCTTCCCTCCCTCACCCACCCCTTGTAACTGGTGCAATAAAGATGGCTGCTGGCGGTCTGCTGCCTGGGACCTCCTGGCTTGTGTGTCTCCTTTCCTGTGTCTGGGTGGAAATAGATGAGCAGAAAGGAGGCACAGAAAAGTTTGGGGGAACATTGAAAAGGACACTGGTAGCACCTCAAGAGACCCCTGGGCGAACTAAATGCGCTTTATGAGTCCTAGAACCACCCCTTCCACTCTAGACCACCCCGAAAGCCGCAACTAACTGTTCCGCCCCATTTTGGATAAAATGGTGCAAAGGTATGGTTGTTGTTGTTTCTGTTAACTCGTAAGCTGGTATGGCCAGGAAGAATTACCTGCATATCACTGAGAAAGAGGAATACCTGGGTGTGTAATGTTTTTTTACAGTTAATGTAAGAATAAGTCACCTTTGATTTTGGAAACGAAAAGAAAGGCTGCTGGTGATTTTAAGACAGAAATGTGTCCGGACACAGAACGAACGTTGGCCCAGTGTAGACAACGGAGGCATAGATAGCGAAGTAGTCAGCTGAACTGCTGCTGTTTCTGAGTGTTGTTTTTGTTGTTATGTCCCAGAGAATGGAGATGACCTTGCCACTAACACACGTTTCAAGATGTAGCATTATGTACACAAGGGGACCAAATTCAGCATGATGACATTCCTGCTCTTTTTTCTTTCTTTTGTTCACCATGTATCATAGCAGCAATATCTGCTACTCTCTTAATGTTAAGGATAGCTTTTAATTCTTTTTTTGTTCAAACTTTTTTTTTTGCTGACCAACTGCGTAAGATATACAAGAGATATATTTAGATATTTACATACAGATGTGGGATCTTAATTTGAGCCAGTTTGCTACAGCAGGAAAATAATCATGCAGCAACAGGAAATGTGAGTTATTAGGTGGATTATAATTAATGGAAATTTTTGTAGGGGTTGATACATTTTTTATAAGTGAAAATTACAAACTTCATTAGTCTTTTTAAACTCAAATACACTACAAGTTTAAAATGTCCTGCATTGCAGGAAAGTTCTCCTGCAATGGGGTGATCAAATTAAGATCCCACATCTGTAGTTTTATATATTCAATTTCCCCCCTCTGTCCACGCATTCCCACTAACTTCCTTTTCAGTATGTAGCAGGGATCATTCAGACTACTATATGGCACAGCATACAATCAATCTCCAAGGTTCAACACAATGTAAAGATCAACAAAATGTAAAAATGCTCATTTCCTGAAGCACACCTAATCAGAAATAATAAGGAAATGCTTAAAGGGCTACTTCAGCATTTCTCTACAGGATGAGGATTGACCTGATGCATCAGACAGACACAGACATACAGACACAGAGAGAGAGAGAGAGACACAGAGAGACAGAGAAAGAGAGAGAGACAGACACAGAGAGAGCGAGAGAGAGAGAGAGAGAGAGAGAGAGAGAGAGAGAGAGAGAGAGAGAGAGAGAGAGAGAGAGAGAGAGAGAGAGAGATCCCAGCACTCACCCTTGGGGAACACCAACGGTGAATCGTGTAGACAAAAACATCATGGCACAGATCTAATAAGAGGCATGTGGGATATGTTTGCATATCCAATCAGGGCTCTCACGGAGCATCTCTGACCTCATCTTGGTTTCAAAACAGAGGCAGACATTTTGTAGCAGCACAGCGTCCCATAGATAAATACAATGCATCCAAACAGCAGACTGTTCTAGAGAAATCCAAAGGAAGAATACAATTAAAAAGACAACCTTATTGCTACACAGGTTAACGTGCAGTTAAGTCAGAACAAGTGCACTTATTGCCAAACAATCATATATTTTGGGGTTCTGTGTATTTTTTGTGACGATTGACAACACAGTATTTCAAAAAAAATATTTTAAATTGTTTTTATGCATGCTCCAATATGAGGTTTTGCTTAGTATGCTGAAATAGAGCAATAAACTGCAGTGACATCAAGACTGTGGAAAATGAACATACCAAAACGAGCACAATCCAAATTGGTATAAATATGCAGCTTGCAGGTTTAGGTGTGTGGCAATAGGGTACCTTACAAATACAAACCAAAACATAAATTGTTAAAGATGCACTATGCAGAAGTCGCTCTGCCATTTCCTGGTTGCAAAAAAGTTTGTGTGACAAAACAAGCAAGTATAGTTTAGAGAATCATTGTACCATCTAAACAGCTGTGAAATATTTTCCATAACCAAAAATATTGTATTTTCGGCTGTTTGAAGCTGGTGCACAAAACCAAAAGTAAAGCAAAAACGAAACTTAAAAACAGGAAGCACAGAAATAGCGCATATAGAACAGATCTACCGTTTCTTAGACTTGCTTTCAAATTAGAATGACAGATCTATAAATCACATTATGTGAATTTTGTCGGGTTGCCCAAAAAGATACACATTGCAGCTTTAAAATCTGGTGCTACATTTACTTTTTTCCTTTATATAGAATATTGACCCTACTTTATAATAGTAATTATTTATAATCTTACTTTTTACAAAACAAGAGCAATCCTGCCTCTCTCCATTGGTCCCATAAGACTTGCTAAACTGAAATGTGAAGCAGTTTACATAATGTTACAGATTATTTTTATCCGTAAATGTACATTCTTCTAGTAGTAGAAAAAGTTGCCACAAAAAAACATTGGAAAACCTATGGCTTAGTAAATATCCATTTGCTATATTTACCTTGTTTTTATTTAAAGAGATAAATGTGTGCTGTCACACACACTGAACCCCCTTACAAAAAAAGAATCAAACAATGCATGTTTATAGGGCAACTTCAGTAATGCTTGCGTAGTTTTTTTATTTTTCCTTAAAGCCACCTTAGTGTAGGCCTGTGGGTACTAGCCCCACTATCAGTCTGGTATTCAGTTTCTATAGTCATGAGAGCTCTCCCATACAGCGGAGAGAGAGTGGAAAAGGGAGAAAGAAAGATAAACAACCCTTGTTGCTGTTTTTATGAGGGTGGGCCGGCTGAGGGAGGTAGGTGGGTGGGTAGATGGCACCAGAGAGGGGGTGTTGTGGCTGCCCGTGGAAGTGTGGCGAGGTCACGTGTGTCCTTTCATGTGCATAGGAGGAGGAACACTCCCTGCTGCTCCTACAGCTCTGGGAGGGCTTCTGTCAAGACTCCATGAAATCTTACACACACACACCCACACACCTTTGCAATCACACCAACACCCCCACACAGTACCCGACATGAGAGGGGAAGGGGGGTAGGTTTAAAGCAGTGGCACTTTCCGGTTATCACCTGGCTTGGAAGGCATGGTGGCGACTGTCGAGCTGTTGTTGTTGTCGTTGACGTTGCTGTTGTAGTAGCAGAGCAGAGTATATAAAATAGATACATTTGATCTATATTGCATATGCCATAGCATGTTGGCCAAGACTGAATGAGCTCATGTCCAGTTTGTTTGCAAACAAAAACAAATAAGTTAAACTGACCTGTAGACCCCCTGTACCGTGATACGTAGGGAGGAGAGCGAGAAACACAAAACAAGGTGCAACATTTTCTGGAGAGACGAGTCCAACAGCACACCAGCATCTCTCCATGGAAAAACACAGAAACAATAACTCAATTAAAATACTTGTTTTTAAGTACCGGATGGTAAAAAATAAACTAACTATAGTTCGTTCAATCTTTTTCTAGGGTGGTTCTCGTCGAGTCCGAGCCACCTCGCCCAGTGACAGAATTGAACATTTGTTGTTTGAATGGAGGCATTGTCACCTGAATGTTATGACCAGCAGTCATGCAACCTTAGGGTTTTTCTGATGGGTTGTTGATGTTTCCTTTCCTCTGGTTTCCGCCGAACAGCACTGAGAGATGGGTCTGTGGCATGGTGGGACTACGTTTGTCTGTAATCACCCCGATAGGTCTTTCACGAGCACTCGAGGATGTGATCCCACCAAATCATGAGGACTGTGGGGTGGGGTTTGCACTGGCAAACATCCCTCTACCAGATCCATGCTCCACCTCCATGAGACAGAAAATAGATCCACGCGCCAGTCAGCGGGGCGACGATGAAACGATGACGGCATTTAGGGAGGGGTCAGGGGGGTATCAGAGTAAAACTTCACCGTGCCGCACCGCCTCTCCTTTCAAACCAAGAGGAGGAGCGGCAGAAAGAGAACTATTGATGGTAATAATGAAAATAATAATATTATTAATAATATAACAGGAGAAAGGGTGTGTCTACATCTTGATGCCCTCTGATTGGCTGAGCTGGGACAGGGTCTTCTTGATGCGTAGTGCGGTGAGGCGGGCTGCTCCGTTGGCGTACCAGCACTCCCTCATGATCTTAGCCATTACCCGCAGAGCCTGGAGGAAAGAGAGAGAGGGGGAGAGGGAGAGAGAGAAAGGTTGACTTGATGAAAAAACGTCACTGAAGCATTGTGTTAGAACAGAGGTGCGTATTAGTATTTTTTATCATGAATATGATATTAGTAAACGGTGTGGTTTTGTATTCCCAGCACCACAGAGACAGTCCCCCCTCCTCACCGCACCCCGATCAGACGCAGAGGGGCCACGGCCCTGATTCACAAAACACGTTTTGCTTAAGGAGAAACATAAGAAATAGTGCAAGTACATTTCCAATAATCTTTTTGAGGAATAGCAACTTTGCTTAACTTCCTTCATAAGTCTATAGTTAAGTAAAAAAAAAAATGCCAGTTAAGAAGAAATGTCTTCTTAAAAGGTTTTGTGAATCTGGGTCCTGGGCAAAATTACCTCCAACTTCCTGCATAGAGGGACACAGAGACATATAAAATGGTAACCACAAGTTCATCTGACTCTGGGGAAGTAGGCTTCATTGCCAAAATCCCCTTACTATCCTTTTAAGAAAGTAAGGGTTTGTTTTTTGGGGAGCTGGAATGAGACGCTGAATCATTCTGCTACCAGCCTTGTAAACAGCATCTGTTTTCTGGCCACAATTTGTCTATATATCTCAGAAGCCTGTCGAGGACATAATCTTGGAGATTTCCACCAGTGCTTATTAAGACAGAGCGCAGTCATTTGGATTAACGCTGACAAATACTCTTCAGTAAGCTTTCTGACAAGTAGGCCAGCACAACCCACATCAGTGTCTCTCGTATATGCTCCAGTTGTGGGAGATGCTCGCAATTTGAATGGGCATGTTTAACCACAGAGACCAAGTCATTCTTAGTGTGGAACTGTTCGAGCATGATTACTCACTTGTTCTAGCACTGTATTCGCTACCAATGTCAACAGTAAACGCTTACATTTTCACTTACACAATGCTCAATTTTACACAGATTATTTTAATGACGTTAAAATATTTATGATTGCTAATTATGCATTTAATTGTGAAATGCATTCAGTTTGTTTAATGTTTTTAAAAAAATAGTTTTGTGCACAGATACTTGATATTGTGTCTTATAACCCCATATGGGATGGGCACCAATTGGTGTCCGACATGGAAATAAAATAAATTATTCAATCAATACCCTATGGATAAGACTGTAAGAGACAGGCTAGAGAGAAACACAGCATGAACTACCATTGTTTCAGAAGCTGTTGCATTACCAAAGTTCACTTGATGAGACCTTGGGACATTCAATACAGTTGGGACTCAAAACATCACAAATCCCCATTGATCTAATACTCTTCTCTTCCCTATTCAGTAATAGTATTAGTGATAGCCTGGTTGTGGGAGAAGTCTGGCACAGTAGTAGCAGAGCAGAGCAGCCCACCATGGTCCCTCACTCCCCCACAATCTGTTGCAGTCTGTTGACAAACATACATTACACTGAATCACATCCAGCAGGGCCTTTTCAGCAGCTAGTCTCCACACTGGCAACTGCTTTAAGAAGCATTCACAGCGCTCTCTGCTTTGTCTGCCTGAATGGACTCAAGGCCAGAACACGGCCTAATCCTGACACCTAGAAATGACTAAGTGTGCATATGTCTGGAACGGTACCCTATTACCTACAGTTGAAGTCGGAAGTTTACATATACCTTAGCCAAATACATTTAAACTCAGTTTTTCACAATTCCTGACATTTAATCCTAGTAACAATTCCCTGTCTTAGGTCAGTTAGGATCACCACTATTTTAAGAATGTGAAATGTCAGAATAATATTAGAGAGAATTATTTATTTCAGCTTTTATTTCTTTCATCACATTCCCAGTGGGTCAGAAGTTTACATACACTCAATTAGTATTTAGTAGCATTGCCTTTACATTGTTTAACTTGGGTCAAATGTTTTGGGTAGCCTTCCACAAGCTTCCCACAATAAGTTGGGTGAATGTTGGCCCATTCCTCCTGACAGACCTGGTGTAACTGAGTCAGGTTTGTATGCCTCCTTGCTCGCATACGCTTTTTCAGTTCTGCCCACACATTCTCTATAGGATTGAGGTCAGGGCTTTGTGATGGCCACTCCAATACCTTGACTTTGTTGTCCTTAAGCCATTTTGCCACAACTTTGGAAGTATGCTTGGGGTCATTGTCCATTTGGAAGACCCATTTGCGACCAAGCTTTAACTTCCTGACTGATGTCTTGAGATGTTGCTTCAATATATCCACATAATTTTCCTTCCTCATGATGCCATCTATTTTGTGAAGTGCACCAGTCCTTTCTGCAGCAAAGCACACCCACAGCATGATGCTGCCACCTCCGTGCTTCACGGTTGGGATGGTGTTCTTCGGCTTGCAAGCTACCTCCTTTTTCCTCCAAACATAACGATGGTCATTATGGCCAACAGTTCGGTTTTTGTTTCATTAGACCAGAGGACATTTCTCCAAAAAGTATGATATTTGTCCCCATGTGCAGTTGCAAACCGTAGTCTGGCTTTTTTATGGTGGTTTTGGAGCAGTGGCTTCTTCCTTGCTGAGCGGCCTTTCAGGTTATGTGGATATAGGACTCGTTTTACTGTGGATATAGATACTTTTGTACCTGTTTCCTCCAGCATCTTCACAAGGTCCTTTGCCGTTGTTCTGGGATTGATTTGCACTTCTCGCACCAAAGTACGTTCATCTCTAGGAGACAGAACTCGTCTCCTTCCTGAGCGGTATGACGGCTGCATGGTCCCATGGTGTTTATACTTGCGTACTATTGTTTGTACAGATGAATGTGGTACCTTCAGGCATTTGGAAATTGCTCCCAAGGATGAACCAGACTTGTGGAGGTCTACAATTTTCTTCTGAGGTCTTGGCTGACTTCTTTTGATTTTCCCATGATGTCAAGCAAAGAGGCACTGAGTTTGAAGGTAGGCCTTGAAATACATCCACAAGTACACCTCCAATTGACTCAAATGATGTCAATTAGCATATCAGAAGCTTCTAAAGCCACGGCATAATTTTCAGGAATTTTCCAAGTTGTTTAAAGGCACCGTCAACTTAGTGTATATAAACTTCTGACCCACTGGAATTGTGATTCAGTGAATTATAAGTGAAATAATCTGTCTGTAAATAATTGTTGGAAAAATCACTTGTGTCATGCACAAATTAGATGTCCTAACTGATTTGCGAAAACGAAAGTTTGTTAACAAGAAATTTGTGGAGTGGTTGAAAAACAAGTTTTAATGACTCCAACCTAAGTGTATGTAAACTTCCGACTTCAACTGTACATAGTGGACTACTTTTGATATAGTGCACTACTTTGGACCAGGGGGCTCTGGAAATACGGTGCCATCTTAGGAAACTTTTGCAGTATTTCGTTTTTTTATGTATTATTTCTTAAGTTATTAGCCCAGAAAATTGTTTGTGTTATTACATACAGCCGGGAAGAACTATTGGATATCAGAGCGGCAGTAACTCACCAGCACTACCAGCATTACAACCAGGAATATGACTTTCCTGAAGCGGATCATTTGTTCGCACCCCCCAGGGCAATTTAACCGATTCCAGAGGTCCTCGGAGCGGCCTTCTAGTCCGACTTAGGAGGCGTGCACATCATCCACTGCTTCCGAGTATATTACTCGCTAATGTTCAGTCCCTGGATAATAAAGTGGACGAGCTCAGGGCGAGGGTTTCTTTCCAAAGAGACATCAGGGATTGTAACATACTCTGTTTCACGGAAACATGGCTCTCTTGGGATATACTGTCCGAGTCGATCCAGTCAGTTGGGTTCTCAGTTCATCGCGCAGACAGGAATAAATATCTATCCGGGAAGCAGAAGGGCAGAGGTGTATGTTTTATGATGAACAACTCATGGTGTAATTGTGATAACATAAAGGAACTCAAGTCCTTTTGTTCACCCGACCTAGAATACCTCACAATCAAATGCCAACCGTATTATCTCCCAAGATAATTTTATTTGGTTATAGTCACGGCCGTGTATATCCCCCCTCAAGCCGATACCACGACGGCCCTCATAAAACTTCACTGGACTCTATGCAAACTGGAAACACCATATCCTGAGGCTGCATTTATTGTATCTGGGGATTTTAACAAAGCAAATTTGAGGTAAAGGTTGCCGAAGTTCTTTCAACACATCGACTGTAGTACTTGCGCTGCTAAAACACTCAACCACTGCTACTCCAACTTCCGGGATGCATACAAGGCCTTCCCCGCCCTCCTTTCGGCAAATCTGACCACGACTCCATTTTGCTCCTCCCTTCATATAGGCAGAAACTCAAACAGGAAGTACCCGTGCTAAGGACTATTCAACGCTGGTCTGACCAATTGGAATCCACGCTTCAAGATTGTTTTGATCATGTGGACTGTGGTATGTTCCGGGTAGCTTCAGAGAACAATATCGACATATATACTGATACGGTGACTGAGTTTATCAGAAAGTGTATAGGAGATGTTGTACCCACTGTGACTATTAAAACCTACTCTAACCAGAAACTGTGGATAGATGGCAGCATTCGCGCAAAACTGAAAGCGCAAACCACCGCATTTAACCATGGCAAGGTGACAGGGAATATGGCAGAATACAAACAGTGTAGTTATTCCCGCCGCAAGGCAATCAAACAGGCAAAACGTCAGTATAGGGACAAAGTGGAGTCGCAATTAAATGGCTCAGACACGAGACATATGTGGCAGGGTCTACCGACAATCACGGACTACAAAAGGAAAACCAGCCACGTCGCGGACACCGACGTCTTGCTTCCGGACAAGCGTAACACCTTTTTCGCCCGCTTTGAGGATAATACAGTGCCACTGACGCGTCCCGCTACCAAGAACTGTGGGCTCTCCTTCTCCGTGGCCGACGTGAGTAAGACATTTAAGCATGTTAACCCTCTCAAGGCTGCCGACCCAGATGACATCCCTAGCCGCGTCCTCAGAGCTTGCGCAGACCAGCTGGCTGGTGTGTTTACGGACATATTCAATCTCTCCCTATCCCAGTCTGCTGTCCCCACTTGCTTCAAGATGGCCATCATTGTCCCTGTACCCAAGAAAGCAAAGGTAACTGAACTAAATGACTATTGCCCCGTAGCACTCACTTCTGTCATCATGAAGTGCTTTGAGAGACTAGTCAAGGATAATATCACCTCTACCTTACCTGCCACCCTAGACCCACTTCAATTTGCTTGCCGCCCTAATAGATCCACAGACGATGCAATCGCCATCACACTGCACTATCCCATCTGGACAAGAGGAATAATATGTAAGAATGCTGTTCATTGACTATAGCTCAGCATTTAACACCATAGTATCCTCCAAGCTCATAATTAAGCTTGAGGCCCTGGGTCTGAACCCCGCCCTGTGCAACTTGGTCCTGGACTTCCTGACGGGAAGCCCCCGGGTGGTGAAGGTAGGAAACAACACCTCCACTTCGCTGATCCTCAACACTGGGGCCCCACAAGGGTGCATGCTCAGCCCCCTACTGTACTCCCTGTTCACCTATGACTGCGTGGCCAAGCACACCTCGAACTCAATCATCAAGTTGGCAGACGACACAACAGTAGTAGGCTTGATTACCAACAATGACGAGACAGCCTACAGGGAGGATGTGAGGGCTCTGTGAGTGTGGTGCCAGGAAAATAACCTCTCACTCAACGTCAACAAAACAAAGGAGATGATCGTGGACTTCAGGAAACAGCAGAGGGAACACCCCTCTAACCACATCGACGGGACCGCAGTGGAGAAGGTAGAAAGCGTAAAGTTCCTTGCGTACACATCACTGACAAACTGAAATTGTCCACCCACACAGACAGTGTGGTGAAGAAGGCGAAACCCTCACAAACTTTTACAGATGTACAATTGAGAGCATCCTGTCGGGCTGTATCACCGCCTGGTACGGCAACTGCACCGCCTACAACCGCAGGGCTCTCCAGAGGGTGGTGCGGTCTGCCCAACGCATCACCGGGGGCAAACTACCAGCCCTCCAGGACACCTACAGCACCAGATGTCACAGGAAGGCCAAAAAGATCATCAAGGACAACAACCACCCTAGCCACTGCCTGTTCACCCTGCTATCATCCAGAAGGTGAGGTCAGTACGGGTGCATCAAAGCTGGGACAGAGAGACTGAAAAACAGCTTCTATCTAAAGGCCATCAGACTGTTAAATAGCCTTCACTAGCCTATATACATAGATTAGAAATCACTGGCCACTTGAATAAATTGAACACTAGTCACTTTAATAATGTTTACATTTCTTGTATTACACATCTCATATGTATATACTATATTCTATACTATTCTACTGTATCTTAGTCAATGCCGCTCTGACATTGCTCGTCCATATATTTATGTATATATTCTTAATTCCATTGCTTTACTTAGATTTGTGTGCATTGGGTATATGTTCTGAAATTGTTAGATATTCCTTGTTAGATATTACTGCACTGTCGGAGCTAGAAACACAAGCATTTCGCTACACCCGCAATAACATCTGCTAAACACGTGTATGTGACCAATAAAATTTGATTTGATTTGATTTATTGACCAGACTTTTCATACCCAACGTGTGGTTCTGATGATACAGATGGACTGGCTAAGAGGATTATTCTCCAGAGTGGGAAACAGGAGAGGGTTGAGTCGTGTGAGAAGAATCGACTGTAGTACTTGCGCTGCTAAAACACTCAACCACTGCTACTCCAACTTCCGGGATGCATACAAGGCCTTCCCCGCCCTCCTTTCGGCAAATCTGACCACGACTCCATTTTGCTCCTCCCTTCATATAGGCAGAAACTCAAACAGGAAGTACCCGTGCTAAGGACTATTCAACGCTGGTCTGACCAATTGGAATCCACGCTTCAAGATTGTTTTGATCATGTGGACTGTGGTATGTTCCGGGTAGCTTCAGAGAACAATATCGACATATATACTGATACGGTGACTGAGTTTATCAGAAAGTGTATAGGAGATGTTGTACCCACTGTGACTATTAAAACCTACTCTAACCAGAAACTGTGGATAGATGGCAGCATTCGCGCAAAACTGAAAGCGCAAACCACCGCATTTAACCATGGCAAGGTGACAGGGAATATGGCAGAATACAAACAGTGTAGTTATTCCCGCCGCAAGGCAATCAAACAGGCAAAACGTCAGTATAGGGACAAAGTGGAGTCGCAATTAAATGGCTCAGACACGAGACATATGTGGCAGGGTCTACCGACAATCACGGACTACAAAAGGAAAACCAGCCACGTCGCGGACACCGACGTCTTGCTTCCGGACAAGCGTAACACCTTTTTCGCCCGCTTTGAGGATAATACAGTGCCACTGACGCGTCCCGCTACCAAGAACTGTGGGCTCTCCTTCTCCGTGGCCGACGTGAGTAAGACATTTAAGCATGTTAACCCTCTCAAGGCTGCCGACCCAGATGACATCCCTAGCCGCGTCCTCAGAGCTTGCGCAGACCAGCTGGCTGGTGTGTTTACGGACATATTCAATCTCTCCCTATCCCAGTCTGCTGTCCCCACTTGCTTCAAGATGGCCATCATTGTCCCTGTACCCAAGAAAGCAAAGGTAACTGAACTAAATGACTATTGCCCCGTAGCACTCACTTCTGTCATCATGAAGTGCTTTGAGAGACTAGTCAAGGATAATATCACCTCTACCTTACCTGCCACCCTAGACCCACTTCAATTTGCTTGCCGCCCTAATAGATCCACAGACGATGCAATCGCCATCACACTGCACTATCCCATCTGGACAAGAGGAATAATATGTAAGAATGCTGTTCATTGACTATAGCTCAGCATTTAACACCATAGTATCCTCCAAGCTCATAATTAAGCTTGAGGCCCTGGGTCTGAACCCCGCCCTGTGCAACTTGGTCCTGGACTTCCTGACGGGAAGCCCCCGGGTGGTGAAGGTAGGAAACAACACCTCCACTTCGCTGATCCTCAACACTGGGGCCCCACAAGGGTGCATGCTCAGCCCCCTACTGTACTCCCTGTTCACCTATGACTGCGTGGCCAAGCACACCTCGAACTCAATCATCAAGTTGGCAGACGACACAACAGTAGTAGGCTTGATTACCAACAATGACGAGACAGCCTACAGGGAGGATGTGAGGGCTCTGTGAGTGTGGTGCCAGGAAAATAACCTCTCACTCAACGTCAACAAAACAAAGGAGATGATCGTGGACTTCAGGAAACAGCAGAGGGAACACCCCTCTAACCACATCGACGGGACCGAAGTGGAGAAGGTAGAAAGCGTAAAGTTCCTTGCGTACACATCACTGACAAACTGAAATTGTCCACCCACACAGACAGTGTGGTGAAGAAGGCGAAACCCTCACAAACTTTTACAGATGTACAATTGAGAGCATCCTGTCGGGCTGTATCACCGCCTGGTACGGCAACTGCACCGCCTACAACCGCAGGGCTCTCCAGAGGGTGGTGCGGTCTGCCCAACGCATCACCGGGGGCAAACTACCAGCCCTCCAGGACACCTACAGCACCAGATGTCACAGGAAGGCCAAAAAGATCATCAAGGACAACAACCACCCTAGCCACTGCCTGTTCACCCTGCTATCATCCAGAAGGTGAGGTCAGTACGGGTGCATCAAAGCTGGGACAGAGAGACTGAAAAACAGCTTCTATCTAAAGGCCATCAGACTGTTAAATAGCCTTCACTAGCCTATATACATAGATTAGAAATCACTGGCCACTTGAATAAATTGAACACTAGTCACTTTAATAATGTTTACATTTCTTGTATTACACATCTCATATGTATATACTATATTCTATACTATTCTACTGTATCTTAGTCAATGCCGCTCTGACATTGCTCGTCCATATATTTATGTATATATTCTTAATTCCATTGCTTTACTTAGATTTGTGTGCATTGGGTATATGTTCTGAAATTGTTAGATATTCCTTGTTAGATATTACTGCACTGTCGGAGCTAGAAACACAAGCATTTCGCTACACCCGCAATAACATCTGCTAAACACGTGTATGTGACCAATAAAATTTGATTTGATTTGATTTATTGACCAGACTTTTCATACCCAACGTGTGGTTCTGATGATACAGATGGACTGGCTAAGAGGATTATTCTCCAGAGTGGGAAACAGGAGAGGGTTGAGTCGTGTGAGAAGAATGCACAAGGGAGATGTTATCTGGTGAGTTCACAAGGCCCTGTGGGGCTGTGGGCTGGAAACCACAGGAAAGCCCCAGTGACTAACAGATAGCTAGCTAAAGAGCCCCGAGGGGTGTGTGTTTGTACTTTACTGCACGTACACACGCAGTATGCAAACCGAATACACACACAACCACTACACACACTATGTGCAAACTGACTAGACACACACACCCAACACACAACTCCCTGAACTGATAGCTTGCGGTGAGACAGTCAGAGTGGTTTACCAATTGTAAAGTGGTTATCCCAATTGTAAAGTGGTTATCCCACTGGCTATAGGGTGAACGCACCAATTTGTGAGTCGCTCTGGCTAAGAGCGTCTGCTAAATGACGTTAATGTGCCCTTGAGCAAGGCACTTAACCCTAATTGCTCCTGTAAGTCGCTCTGGATAAGAGCGTCTGCTAAATGACTAAAATGTAAATGTAAATGTAAATGTTTTTCAGGGTCATGCTGTCAGACACGAAACAAGGCCGGGAAGGCTCTCCACATGTCACGCTCTGCCTGTCTCAGTGAAAACAAAGTGTCTCTCACAGAATACCAACGCTACCCTTGACGGCCGGACTACCTGTATGAACATAAGAAGCTGTTTGGTCTGTCTGCGACGGAAGTCCTCTGAGAAGTCATTACAGGGTAATCTGTACCTCTGTTATGTGTGTGGAGCTCATAATAAACTACACCACTGTCTGTTTGGAGAGTGTGGCACAAGGTGGTCCCTCACTGTTCTCTGTTCTATCCTACCAGACACACTCCTCCTCTCAGTCCTCCTCTACCCTCTTCCAGGTCGTATTGTTGTTGGCAGGGCGTGGCTGACTCACCGTGGTGGTGCAACACGCCAGTCTCAACAAAAGGCATCTGTGTTTACGGCCTGACCTGTGAACGAGCGGCGGCCGCTGAGACACCATCTGCCCGTTGGCACATTAAACCACCGCCCCCTCAGCCGTAGCTAGCCTCAATTAACACCCGGGAGAGAAGAGAAGAGGAGAATGACTTTCTTCTGGCTGTATATTTCAATTTTGGGATGGTTTATGCTAGGCCTAGCATGTTAAATGGAGATTCTCCATTGAAAGCGTTTCTTAGTCCAAGACTTGGCTTAATCTGTTTCTGGGAAACCAGACCTGTATGTATGTCTTGACATGTTGTGTTAGATGTACTGTATGTGTGATCAATTGGTAGCGTCATACCCAAGAAGACTCGAGCTGTAATCACTGCCAAAGGTGCTTCAACAAAGTACTGAGTAAAGGGTCTGAATACTTATGTAAATGTGATAGTTTTTTATTTGTAATACATTTGCAAAAATTTCTAAACAAATGTTTTTGCTTTGTCATTATGGGGTATTGTGTGTAGATTGATGAGGGAAAAAAAACAATTTCATAAATTCTAGAGTAAGGCTGTAACGTAACAAAACGTGGAAAAAGTCAAGGGGTCTGAATACTTTCCGAATGCACTGTATGTCTTGACATGTTGTGTTAGTTGTACTGTATGTGTGGTCAATTGGTACTGACTTGCTACATTGCTTAATATTTGTGTTGCCATAGATTGTATGTATGTATTCATCTAAATTATAAAGAATCTTTCAATAAAAAGGTATGGTGGACAACTCAGCAAACAACCTGTTCTGGCCAAGGCAGAAATATTAGACTATTAGACTATTATTTTGGTATCAGGGACATAGATCTCTCCGGTTGATCGATCAGTGTCTTCTCACTGTGTTGTGTTGAATGGCAGGTGCAGCTCGGTCACAACAGCTTGGCAGCCATTGAGGCCTGGTCATACTGGACAGATTAGATTACAAGATTGTATTACTGTGGATTGGCGCTAATGTAATTGTTCAGTTTTCCAGGCAATAAACAGGGACACCTATAAACAGAAAGAGGGAGAGAAAGAGGATGTAAAGACAGGAAGGAAGGAAGGAAGGAAGGAAGGAAGGAAGGAAGGAAGGAAGGAAGGAAGGAAGGAAGGAAGGAAGGAAGGAAGGAAGGAAAAGACAGAAAGAGAGCCTTGTAAACAGAGTGTGATGTCGTGAAGGAGGGAAGCTTGAGAGAGGGGGAGAGGGAGGGAGAGACGCAGCACACTTTCTTCCCCTTAGGGTGGATGGTTACTCTCTGAGGAGGGAGGGACTGTGGTTATAATGAGGAGAGAGGGAAACACTAGCTTCTGTGACACCTGAGTCTTATTGAGATGGACGCATGGGAGAGTTTCAGGTTTGTGGGCTGTGATCGTTCTTGGTTTAAACGCACCATGTCGTGAGACAGAGACAGATAGTAGTTCGGAAAGACTATCTGGAGAGAATCCTCTCACGTGGATTTTCAGTTGATGAAATTGGCTAGTTTTTATGGCTGCATCACAAAGAGAAGACTACTACACATTTCTTAAGGCGAGTCGTGCCTCAGAACTTGGAATGTGAACGGTTTAAAAACAAAGCAATCAAAAGATCAGCATTTTTTATGGTATGAAGGTCCAGTGTGTGTGCGTGCGTGCGTGTTACGTACCTCACAGCTCTGCCACCGGTTTGGAATGTTGGGTCGTAGCTTCTGTTCACACACCACCCTCCTCATCTCCTCCACAGAGGGGTCTGACTGCACCAGGTCATGGTATGGCAGCTGGTAGTCTTCAACGATGCCTGACGCAAATCACGTCAGACGCGTTAAAATACATCACAATCGCTGACAGTAAGTACAACGCATTACATTAAAAGTGTTTTATCACTCAAGGGAAAATGTGTTTGTCCTCTGCACAGTATACATCATAGACGAAGTAGCTCATGTACTTCAATGAAATGTATGTGATTTGTATATACAGTGATAAGCCAACAGAGCCAGAGAATTAGCTAATGAACAAATAAACTTGCTATGCGCCATCATCATATTACTCACCAACTGTTGTTATCGAGGGCAATAGACAATAATTAATTACCACTACTGAAGTTATTAAATCAAGGGAAGTTCATAACTGAGTGACTATAGGGGGACCAACACACGTACCTGCCAGAGAGCATCTACTGGCTATCTCCCAGAACACCAAGCCCATGGCGTAGATATCTGCCCTCTTAAACGACTCAAAATGCTTCATGTTTATCGAGTCGTCTAGCACCTCTGGTGCCATATACCTGGAGAGAGAGATGACAAGGTTGGTTAGATAATACAGTAGACTGACCGCACACACACACACACACACACGTCTTATGCAGCATTCCATTCACAAGTCTAATTCACAACCTTCCACAATGTCTTCATTGAACTCCTTGAGCTGGAGTTTCATACTGACAAAAACCATCAAAGTCCTTCCCTTGCAATATTAGATCTGGTGGCAATACGCCAACAAACACCCCGCTCAATTGAGAACATTTCGGAAGCACTTATATCATAGAGCAGTTTGAAGTTAATTAATATTTGCCCAACACACTCCGAGGCATCAAAGATGCAATCGTTCCTCTGTCTTTAATTCATTTAAAAAAAGAAACCACAACAAAACTGATTGCATCCTCTGCTAGGCAGCCAGGCGTGATTTCCCAACACAGCTTTTCAGAGAGATATGAAACAGTATCCTCCTCAGCATTTGTAGATGAACAACATTCTTGATAACCAGCAAATCTCTCCAGTTGGAAGTTGCTGGCACAGATCTACAATCAGTTTCCCCTCCTCCAGATTCTAACCTGCACCATTAGACCTCAAACACAAAACTGACAGATCAGTGTCTAGGGGCAATATCTCTAACCCTGTCGATAGAGAAAGGACAATCTCTAATCTCAAAGAAGGGAATCCCAGATTCGAGGCGTTCCAGAGGAGGGTGAAGTCCCAGAGCCGTGAGCCTCATTAAGCCCCACAGATTCCAGTGGGTCAGCCGAGCAGACAGACACACAGAGCCAGCCAGGACCACAACACAACATAACCACCCGCCTGCCCCAAAGAGAAAGAAGGGGGTCTCCCGCGCTATGCCAGAAAAACTCAAAGGCTTTAATGCGCTTCACATTATCTACCACCACCAATGTGTCAGTGAACTAATCAATCCACCACCTAACGACAATGACCATAGTAAACTGTGCTAATGCCATCGACCCTGGCCCCATCAATATTATGGGCTTATAAAATAATTCCCTCAACATTTCTAAGGTTGTATTTTGGCTAGGCTACTTTGAAACAAGACATAAAACTTAATTGTTGCTGCTGCAGTTAGGGAGAGACAGCGCAATTGTATGGGCAGCGTGTTTCCATGTGATTACTCACGCCGTGTACTCCTCCTCCTCTCCTTTCCTCCTTCTCTCCCTTCCCCCGCTGCTTCCCTCCCTCCCTGCTACCGATTTCACTGCACCTTCACCTATTGCGGCCAGTGGCAGCTGTTGGAGCTGGGAGTCGGGGTGATGTCTCCAGTCACTTTGAATGACGACTCGAAAGAGGCCGCCCCAGGGGACTCCAGTTACCTTTGAGTTTCCCACTCTGTGGTTGGGGGCTTGGCAGCACTCTAGAGCCAGAATGGACGAACAGTTTAAAAGGCACCTCCACCTCCCATCTCACCACAGCCAATGACAGCTCGTGGAGCCGGAATGGCCGCCAAAGGGCTCCTATTACCTTTTGATTCCTGTTCCATCGTCGAGGGGGGAGTAGTTTGAAGTCGCCACTAACCACATCAAAGAGCCGGCATGGTAGCTCAATCATATCACATAGCCAGCCCAAATAACAGGCATAAGAGGGCAGCGGAGCACGAATAGGGGGTCCAGTTACCTTTTGGTTCCTACTCTGTGGTTGGGAGCGATGTCAATGGTGTCAGTGGCGGAGTCGTGGCGCACGGCCAGGCCCAGGTCGGCGATGCAGCAAGTCCCGCTCTTCTTCACCAGGATGTTCTTAGATTTCAGGTCCCTGTGGGCAATGGCCGGCTTCCCTGGAATTTATGGGGGGAGAGAGAGAGTGGGAGGAGAGAGAGAGTGAGAGAGAGAGAAGAGAGAGAGTGGGAGATGAGAGTGGGAGAAGAAAGAGAGGGTGGGAGAAGAGAGAGAAAGTGGGAGAAGAGAGAGAGTGGTAGGAGGAGAGAGAGAGAGAGAGAGGAAGAAGAGAGAGGGAGAGAGAGGGGAGAAGAGAGAGGGAGAAAGAGAGAACAGGGAGAGAGAGAAAGAGAAAAAGAGAGAGAGTGGGAGAAGAGAAAGAGTGGGAGGAGAGAGGGAGAAGAGAGAGAGGGTGGTGAGAATATGCTTTACTGAGAATATGCTCTCCTCTCAATAACCAGGGGGTGGTTCCTGTGTAAGTAGGGAAGCTTCCTGTGTAAATTTCCCTACGGTGGTGAGTGGACCTGCTTGTCATCATAGTCAAACTTCCAACTTCCCCTTTCCATGTCCTTGATACAAACCTAATGTGTGAACATTATGATTAGAGTACAAATGTACATATGGAATTATTGTATGCATGTCGATTGGTACATATGTTACAGACAGTATATGTGACACAATATATGATTTGGTAACACATTACTATTCGACGTGAAGCCAAAAGGCAAATGTTCCGACTCCCATCTCTTGACAAACAGTAAAGTCCTCAGTCGCTGATTGGTGGGTGTTGCTGTCACCAGTCACTGATTGGTCAACATGGCTGTCACTCACCTTGCGTGCCAACAATCTCCATGTGGAGGTGGGCCAGGCCGCTGGCGGTGGACAGGGAAAGTTTGATCATGCCCTCCACGGTGACGGTGTAGCGGTTCAGGTAGTCAAACAAAGAGCCATGCTCATGGTAGTCTGACACCAGCCACAGCTGGGTCCATGTCCCGTTATCTGGAAAGAGAAGGGGGGGACAGAAATAGGGAGGGGAGAGAGATACAGGTACAGAGAGATAAAGTAGAGTAAGATGAGTGATGGAGAGAAAAACACAGAGACAGAGAGACAGAGAGAGACAGAGAGAGACAGAGACAGAGACAGAGACAGAGAGTTCTCCTCAGTGCAATGTGATGTTACCTCCAGATGGCCAGAGAGCTCAGAGCAGTTGGACTGAGCACAACCACCGCCCCAACTCTAGAAACACACACCCCTGGCTCGCTAGCAGGTTTTCTGCACTGAGATCACTAGACTGCATCCAAATATGCTGGTATGACCCTTCTCATGGTTCTTAAACCCTTACAAGCCCACACCAGAACAATCTGCCTTACTGACATGCCAGCAGTCTACCTTATGCTAAACCCTAACAGAGAGGCACTACAAACCTTAAGGTCCGGCCAAAAAAAAAAGAGGCTCTAATCAATAAATGTGCCCGTTCAAAAGTGATTCTACTCTTTAGAGGTGAGCTGTGATTGGTCGTACCTTTGTTGTCGGCGGCGATGAAGCCCAGGATATTCTCGTGACGGAGCATGACTGTCTGGTAGATCTCGGCCTCGCGGAACCACGAGCGCTCCTCACGGGACGAGAAGATCTTGACTGCCACCTCCTCGTCTCGCCACTTCCCCCGCCACACTTCACCAAAGCGGCCCTTCCCAATGCTCTCCTGGAGGATGATGGTCCGGGCTATGGTCCTCTGTACCAGCAGGGGCAGACCTGTTAGGAAAAAGATGGTTTAGAAATGCCCTACAAAAGGGACTGGTCACTCGCTAGCAATGTACATAGTAACAACAGAAAGACTCCATAAATGAAAAGCAATCCAAAGGACGACGTCATGAAAATGACCTGAAACAAACGTCAGTGTAAAAAGTGATTGGTTAATTGTCTGTGCTGCAGCTCTTCGGACAATATTCATCAAAGTAATAAAATAAAAATCTTAAACATATTCAAACAATTCACAAACAGGACAGAGTTGTGCTCCTGGGTAAATATATCTACCGCTCTCTTTATTTCACCAGCTGGACAGTCAGTTATTTACTGTGGGGCCTGCAGGGAGGGGTTGAGGAGTTGAAAGCTGCTGGTACTAGCAGCAGCAGAAATAGCCAGGCTGTAGAGGCTGCGGAGGTCATGGCCGTTAGAAGCCAAATGGAGCGTAGGTTGTGGTGGGATAGCTAGGTGTATGTGGAGAGAGGAGAGCAGGGAGGAGACAGATGGGGTCACTATGATCCTAGCAGGGTCTGATGTTCAGTAGACGTGTGCCGTGACGTCCTGGGCTGGAAAATAATATTTTAGTCTACATGCTGCATGAGTGGACTGTGAGTGCCTTAGTTTTTCCATTAGTGTAGTAGACCCCTAAATATAAATCCTACTTTTGAAACTCTTTCGTCTGTGCTGTGCTCCACATCCTTTATGTTCATGTGTACTTAATTCAGGCAGACAGTGGATTTATCCACCTGCCTCGATAAAGAGCAACACATTAAGCAGGGTAATTTAAGATCCCATTGTCAAAATGAAAAATCCACTCTAAAAGCCGGAAAAAAGGAAACACTGACAAGTTTGTCAAATTCAGTTTGACTGTGGACTTAGCCGGTCTGCCATTTTTGATATCTTGCAGAAAGTTCAAATCAACGTTGTCCTATAGTGGAAAATCCTACAAATCATAATCCAAAAATCTATTCACACTTTTGCACAAAAATGACCCAGGAAGTTGATTCTGAATCAAATCCAGGTAGCCTAGAGGTGTGGATTTCTCTGCCAGTCCTGATAGTGAGCTGTTAATTGCTGGTCGGAACAAGACGACAAGGTGTCCGCGTGCCAGTTCTCTCACCACGTCTCCTGGCTGGCAGGGCTGGCGTCTGGGGGTGAGAGCAGCTTTACAGCCACTCTGTGTCAGCGCCATCCTGTCATTAGAGCCCTGGCCCGCACCGCTCCCATTACGCCACAGCTAAGGCTGAGCTAGAGACCGATAAGATAACCGCTGCTTTCACTACACACTCACTGAGGGCGGGAGGGAGTCACTTCTCCCTGACTTGATCTCCCCCGTCATCTCACAGCGGGGTATCTCTCTAAGTTCTGTAGCTACGCACACACTGAGTTATTCACACAAGCACAGGCACACACTTACACCTAGACGCATGCTGGTAAGCGCACTGAACAATTGCACGCTCATACCAATTGCACACACACAGCCAAACAAAGAAGCAACACAACATGAGTAGCCATGCCTGAGCAGATAAAGGCACACACCTAAAGGCTTTAATGCTACTAAAACAAACAAATACAGAAAAAAATGATTAAATAATACAACAAAACATGAGCGGTCCTGCATGGGCAGAGCAGAGACCCCCCCCCCCCAACACAGTCACACACACATCCCCGTCCCCACACCCCATGGGTACCTAACCCACCAGAGCCGGAGCCAGAGGTGGTCATGTCGTAGATGAGGTCTTTGAGGGTGGAGCCCACGTTGAGGAAGGGATGGTTCATGGAGGGGTCCTCCTCGTTGGGCACGCGGTGGTGGATGCCCGCACGGCTGTGGCAGATGTAGAAGACCAGCATCAGCACGAAGCACAGCACGCACACAGGCCCTGCGATCACCGCCGCCAGCGCCACAGGCCCCAGAGGCACCGGCTTCACTGTTGGCACTATGGGGAGGAGGGAAGAGAAGGGGTTAAAAGAGGAGCTTGACACAGCTGCTTTTCTTTTGACTGTGTTCGGTTTGGTTTTAGGCCCATCTCTGGTTGGACGTAGAGAAAAATATGTACACAGGCACAGAAATTCACTTATTAATAAAATTAAAAATAAATAGAAATTCACTTTTGTTCACAAAGAATAGGAGTTTGTTCATTCATTTTGGTAACTATCGACATATTCTTTTCAATTGTTCCATCTAAATGAGTAACTATTTAAAGGCCCAGTCCAGTCAAAAATATGATTTTCCTGTGTTTAATTTATATTTCCACACTTTGAGGTTGGAATAATACTGTGAATTTGTGAAAAATATGACAATGCCCGTTTAGTGTAACAGTTCTTGAAAAGACAGCCTATTAGTTAATAGGCCAATAACAAAGAGAGTTTCAAACTGATAGATTACTTGAGAAATTGTGCTTTGCTAAGAAGCTATTTTTGTTTATTTATGACCATTTTAATTGGAAAAAAATAACATGAAGGTTTTATTTTTATTTTTATTTCACCTTTATTTAACCAGGTAAGCCAGTTGAGAACAGGTTCTCATTTACAACTGCGACCTGGCCAAGATAAAGCAAAGTAGTGAATAAAAAACAACACAGAGTTACATATGGGGTAAAAAACATAAAGTCAGAAATACAACAGAAAATATATATACAGTGTGTGCAAATGTAGCAAGTTATGGAGGTAAGGCAATAAATAGGCTATAGTGCAGAATAATTACAATAGTATTAACACTGGAATGCTAGATGTGCAAGAGATTATGTGCAAATAGAGATACTGGGGTGCAAAAGAGCAAAATAAATAACAATATAGGGATGAGGTAGTTGGGTGGGCTAATTTCAGATGGGCTGTGTACAGGTGCAGTGATCGGTAAGGTGCTCTGACAACTGATGCTTAAAGTTATTGAGGGAGATAAGAGTCTCCAGCTTCAGAGATTTTTGCAATTCGTTCCAGTCATTGGCAGCAGAGAACTGGAAGGAATGGCGGCCAAAGGAGGTGTTGGCTTTGGGAATGACCAGTGAGATATACCTGCTGGAGCGCAGACTACGGGTGGGTGCTGCTATGGTGACCAATGAGCTAAGATAAGGCGGGGATTTGCCTAGCAGTGATTTATAGATGGCCTGGAGCCAGTGGGTTTGACGACGAACATGTAGTGAGGACCAGCCAACAAGAGCGTACAGGTCACAGTGGTGGGTAGTGTATGGGGCTTTGGAGACAAAACGGATGGCACTGTGATAGACTACATCCAATTTGCTGAGTAGAGTGTTGGAGGCTATTTTGTAAATGACATCGCCGAAGTCAAGGATCGGTAGGATAGTCAGTTTTACGAGGGCATGTTTGGCAGCATGAGTGAAGGAGGCTTTGTTGCGAAATAGGAAGCCGATTCTAGATTTAACTTTGGATTGGAGATTCTTTATGTGAGTCTGGAAGTTGAGTTTACAGTCTAACCAGACACCTAGGTATTTGTAGTTGTCCACATACTCTAGGTCAGACCCGTCGAGAGTGGTGATTCTAGTCGGGTGGGCGGGTGCCAGCAGCGTTCGATTGAAAAGCATGCATTTAGTTTTACTAGTGTTTAAGAGCAGTTGGAGGCTACTGAAGGATTGTTGTATGGCATTGAAGCTCGTTTGGAGGTTTGTTAACACAGTGTCCAATGAAGGGCCAGATGTATACAAAATGGTGTCGTCTGCGTAGAGGTGGATCTGAGAGTCACCAGCAGCAAGAGCGACATCATTGATATACACGGAGAAAAGTGTCGGCCCAAGAATTGAACCCTGTACTTAATTGTTACTTAGAAATGATTTGATATTGAGATAAAAACGGCTGAATTGGTCCTAAGAGAATTTCAAACCAGCTGTGTGTGAAAACGGGTCCAGGATAGAGTGGGCGAATAGGCCTTTTGTTGAGATGGCATGAAGTGAGCCTAATGTTGGATGTACACCCATTATTTTACCCAAGTGCTGTGTTATACATGTATGGATAACCCTATAAGTACAATAAACAGAATACCCACACACCGGTGTCCCGCAACAACCTTTTCAAAAACGTCTGACCATTACCTGGTCTTGGCTCTTTGGTTCTTGTCCTCGAAAGGCATCAAATATATGAAAGCGATGACCGAAGGAATAGCATGGCTCGTCATATGCCTGTGTCACCAATGTCTTCACCAAGTCACTGGTTAATACGCTTTCATACGTCGATACAATACGTACAGTTTAGTCACATAGCTATAGGATGAATCACTGGGCCTCAAGGCTCTAGCTGTATCAATAGTGCTGGAAGAGAAACTGTCCTGGCCTGAAGGTCACAGTAAAATATGTTGTTTTGACCACAAGACTGTATCTGAAAGTCTCCAACGGTGTTGGCCACTCAATAGCCTGTATTATCTCTCTAATAGTTAGAAAAATAGCAAAAAAAAGAGCAGAAAGTGCTCATTCAATGACACACCATGAGCGGCCAACTTTGTAAACATCGCAGGGGAAGCAAGGAAAATAATCGAACGAAAAGGGTCAAGTTTGGGGTGCGCTGAAGTTGTGTATTAAAGTCCTGGAGCAGCGCGCTCCCGGGTCCAAGGCTTTCGGCCAACACTTAAAAGGGCAGAGGTGGGCTTACTTTGTATGGCGATAGAGAATTGTTGGAGTTTGGAGAAAATCAATATTTTGCCAAAAACAGGGCCACTATACTGCGTGGGCAGAAACCATCTGTTGCATATAAAATGTTTTAATTCCTATACAGAAAGCTATGCCAGAACGAAATGCTTAGTGTAGCTAGACGGGTATAGGTTAACCTAGGTCAATCCTTTAAACACAGGGTTTTGGATTGTTAAAATCCTCTCCTCTACCTACAGTGCATTCTCAGACAGTTATTTCTGTCATAATTCTAATTCTATGATTTCTGTGCTCAGAGGGCAGTTGTAATGATATGTTATTATAGCTGACGGGTAAGGCTATTTAGGATTGGCAAGGTAATAACATAATTAGGGCTGAGGATTTTGTGTGTGCGCGCGAGTGTGTGCGATGACGTTCAGAGAGGGAGATTCATTCACCATTAATGGTACAGACAAACCAAGAAATCTGACTGCCGATAGATACTTAGCACAGTAGGAGACTGTTCATTCTCTTGCTAGAACAAAAGACATCCCTGCTGTGTACCGAACCGGTACCGATGACTCTGACGTTTATACTTGTAGAATCGCAATGCTTGTCAGTGGCCGAGAACCTGAATTTGAGCCAATAAGAGAGCACGAACCTCCACGTGATAAAACAATAAAGCTGCATAATACAAGTATTTTACATCTAGCTAAGGAGTTTTGTGTTTAAAGAAGGATTGTTTTGTTAGGTTCAGTTTGATAACGTGCACCTGCTAATTACTTAGCTAGCTAGCTAACATTAGCTTGCTAACTGAGCCAGGCAGTCACACACATTTCATATGAAACAGAATGGGGTGGTAAGTGCAGCACAATGCACACAACACTACATGCTTTGCCAAGCTAGCTATCTAGCAAGATGAATAAATCATTTAATTCACTCTCCATTATCCCATAGACGGGTTGGTTGTTTAGCATCAAAAACAACACGTACAGAAATATGGGGCAAAACAGACAGAGTTGGCTTAGATTGTTGACAACATGTAAACTACGTTTCGTCTCCAATGTTTACTGAAAACAAATGTGCACAATGAGCAATTGTCTTTCAAATAAATCATTACAGGTGATGGTTAGCTAGCTAGCGAATGTTTACCATATTAGCATAGATGTGACAGTCAAAACAAGACACGGTATACAGAACAAGATAAAGCTAGCTGAAACGAGCCACCTACGATTCCTCACATGGCAGCTTCTAGACATTGTTGCTAGCCATCTGACCATCCAAAATCACAACACACAAACTTCTGCCACATTGAAGCGTGCGCATCATTTGTGACGTTGTCAGCTAACCAGTCTTTACTGCCAGTTTCAGTTCGCTTGCTAGCTTACGCTAGCTAAAGGGTTAGAATCGCCAATAGCACAACATAGCTAGATAGCTGTCGAGAGTCGGTGGAGAACAGAACCGGCATGGACACAGCATAAAACAATGCACCGTTTACACAACTTATGTTTACCAACACCACGATCACACTATCACCAATAGCGACAACAACAGTGTCACATCAAAGGTGAAAGGCTCATGGTGCTGAAAGGACAGCGACCGTAATACTTGTGCACTCCATGGTGCTGAAGGGGAGCCAATTTTGGTCAAACACAGACACGGCTGACAGACAGGTGACAGCAGTCACACACAGCATCAAATAATGTTAAAGAACAAGCAGCCCATTCACTCCAGTAGGCCCCATGAAATCATACAAATACAAAAGCACAACCATTTCATGTCCAAAATTAAACAAACAAACCAGCTATTACTTCCCATTGCAAATCTATTTTATCACATTCATCAAACTAACCAGTGATCTAAAGCTTAAATGCAACAATGTTTCAAAGTCATTCGTTTTTGATAACTAACAGCAAGTGAGCTGCAACAAAAAAACAGCGCCACTACCCAGATGATGATCATTTGTAAACAAAGTTTGAAAGTTAATCTTGAAAAGGGTGATGCTAACAAATTAAAACTCATTTTTTTCAACCACTCCACAAATTTCTTGTTAACAAACTATAGTGTTGGCAAGTCGGTTAGGACATCTACTTTGTGCATGAAACAAGTAATTTTTCCAACAATTGTTTACAGACAGATTATTTCACTTATAATTCACTGTATCACAATTCCAGTGGGTCAGAAGTTTACATACACTAAGTTGACTGTGCCTTTAAACAGCTTGGAAAATTCCAGAAAATGATGTCATGGCTTTAGAAGCTTCTGGTAGGCTAATTGACATCATTTGAGTCAATTGGAGGTGTACCTGTGGATGTATTTCAAGGCCTACCTTCAAACTCAGTGCCTCTTTGCTTGACATCATGGGAAAATCAAAATAAATCAGCCAAGACCTCAGAAAAAAAATTGTAGACCTCCACAAGTGTGGTTCATCCTTGGTAAAAATGTCCAAACGCCTGAAAGTACCACGTTCATCTGTACAAACAATAGTATGCAAGTATAAACACCATGGGACCACGCAGCCGTCATACCGCTCAGGAAGGAGACGCGTTCTGTCTCCTAGAGATGAACGTACTTTGGTGCGAAAAGTGCAAATCAATCCCAGAACAACAGCAAAGGACCTTGTGAAGATGCTGGAGGAAACAGGTACAAAAGTATCTATATCCACAGTAAAACTAGTCACATATCGACATAACCTGAAAGGCCGCTCAGCAAGGAAGAAGCCGCTGCTCCAAAACCGCTATAGAAAAAGCCAGACTACGGTTTGCAACTGCACATGGGGACAAAGATCATACTTTTTGGAGAAATGTCCTCTGGTCTAATGAAACAAAATAGAACTGTTTGGCCATAATGACCATCATTATGTTTGGAGGGAAAAGGGGGTGGCTTGCAAGCTGAAGAACACCATCCCAACCGTGAAGCACAGGGGTGGCAGCATCATGCTGTGGGGGTGCTTTGCTGCAGGAGGGACTGGTGCACTTCACAAAATAGATGGCATCATGAGGAAGGAAAATTATGTGGATATATTGAAGGAACATCTCAAGACATCAGTCAGGAAGTTAAAGCTTGGTCGCAAATAGGTCTTCCAAATGGACCCCAAGCATACTTCCAAAGTTGTGGCAAAATGACTTAAGGACAACAAAGTCAAGGTATTGGAGTGGCCAGCACAAAGCCCTGACCTCAATCTTATAGAAAATATGTGGGCAGAACTGAAAAAGCGTGTGCGAGCAAGGAGGCCTACAAACCTGACTCAGTTACACCAGCTCTGTCAGGAGGAATGGGCCAACATTCAGCCAACTTATTGTGGGAAGCTCGTGGAAGGGTACCCAAAACGTTTGAACCAAGTTAAACAATTTAAAGGCAATGCTACCAAATACTAATTGAGTGTATGTAAACTTCTGACCCACTGGGAATGTGATGAAATAAATAAATCATTCTCTCTAGTATTATTCTGACATTTCTCATTCTTAAAATAAAGTGGTGATCCTAACTGACCTAAGACATGGAATTGTTACTAGGATTAAATGTCAGGAATTGTGAAAAACTGAGTTTAAATGTATTTGGCAAAGGTGTATGTAAACTTCAGACTTCAACTGTACATATTACCTCAAGTACCTCGACTAATATGTACCCCCGCACATTTGACTCGGTACCCCCTGTATATATCGTCGTTATTGTTATTTTATTATGTAACATTTTTTTACTTTAACTTATTTAGTAAATATTTAACTCTTATTATTATTATTATAACTCTTAATATTTATTCTATTTAACTCTTTATTTTCTTAAAACTCCATTGTTGGTTAAGGGCTTGTAATCATTTCACGGTAAGGTCTACTACAGCCGTTGTATTCGTTGAATGTGACAAATACAATTTTATTTGATCTGGTGAGGGCCCAAAAAGGTGACAGAATATTTTGGCACGGAAACACGTGAAAAATATGGGGAAACTGAAAGAAAATGTGCGCTTATTTTCAGAATGAGGTTGTCACAATACCAACATTTTACTAACGATGTGATACCAGGCCAAGTATAACGATACCGAGTAGTATCGTGATACCACAGGGTTTGCCCCATTTTCTATATGTTCTGCACGTGTGCTGCACAAAAACATGTCCCTGATATTCACACCTCTACTCAATAAAACACATTGTATTTAACTTCACACTTTTTACTGTATAATAGAAAAGGCTACTACAGAAAATAGCTGATTTGCCCATATCCAAAGACCAACCTTTGATTGGGCAGGAGGAATGTAGTAAGGAATATAAATGAATAATCATCTGCATTTTCATTGCGGTAGTAAGGGGAAACACACTAGGCCCATATGAAACCATATTTAGCCTGATTAGAGGGGAAGAACGAAAAGAAGCAGTGGAACTGGCTTCGAGGTAGAGCTGGGACAATAAGCCGAACATTATCGACACCGACCACTTATCGCAGGCATTTTGCTGATATCGTTCATTACGGTAAGTAGCTTAATACTAGAGAAATGTGAAGTTTGAAATGAAATAAGTTTGCTAATATGGGTGATTGTTAATGGAACAGTTGATGGCTACAACCATCAAACTAGTAGTAGTAGAAGTTTAAAAGGATTATACAAAAAATAAACTGGTTATAAACTCATCGTTCTAGTTAACGTTATCACATTAATACGGGCAATTTATTCCGGTGTGGATTTTTTTATTTTATATATCGCCCAGCTCTACTTCGCGGCCCAGAATTGAATGAGGGCCCTAGATAGTATCCCACAGCACTGCAGAACAGTCCATGTATAAATAACCCTGAGGCCTACAGTCGAGCCCTTATAAATGCAAAGGCTTGGGTTCTTAGTTTACGATGTGCATTTATGAGACATGCAGAAAGACACACTTGGGACGGACCTGGGAAGACACTGAGGTCAGGGTTCTTGTTGCACCAGTCGGTGGAGCAGCACATAGGGTAGATGCCAGTGTCGTCCTTGGTGGAGGGCGCGCAGATGAAGGGGCGGTCGCGCGGGATCAGCTCGTTCTCGGGGACGCACATACTGCTCTCGGCGGTGATGCTGCTGCCAGACTTCTTGACGGACACGAAGCACAGTCCGTCCGTGGTGCACGTGGAGTTGAGACAGCGCTGGCAGTAACACTGCAGTGCTATTAGAGGGTGGGAGGAGAGAAAGAGAGAGGGAACAGAGATTCAGGTAGAGAGAAAGAGAACATAGAGATTCAGGTAGAGAGAAAGAGAGAGGGAACAGAGATTCAGGTAGAGAGAAAGAGAGAGGGAGAGGGAACAAGAGGACAAAGGAGAGAGATTAACACCAACAAAAGAAATGACCCATTTTCTTCCCCACAAAAGGAACTGAACAAACCGCATCCTACAACACCAGAGTGCAATTTCACACAGTGTGTGTGTGTGTGTGTGTAGCAGTTAGCATAAAAGCAACAAATGAGTAGTTACAGTGCAACACAGAAATCCTCAATGCTGTTTGCTACACTAATCAAAAACAACATGTCAACAACATGTCAAATGGCTTGTGATCTGTTGTGATCCACCTCACCATCAGTGGTCTCACATCCCCTTAGTCAGCTTCCTTCCTGCTCACCCCGTTTGCAGCCAGAACACTTGCAGATGAAACGTGAGACGTCGTGAAGAGCGAGCGCGCCAGACTTTCACCTTCTCACAACAACACCCCTAAGAGCTTGGTGCTGGTTTAGAACTACAGATTTACTATAAACCTAGCTGGGTCAGTTTGAGTTGCTTCTGAAAGCCTCTTTCCCCCTCTCCATTTTTGACTTTCTTTCTCCAGGCTACCTCTTCCCTCACTAGGCTTACACTTATTTCTTTCTCTATTTTTTCTCTTTCTCTTCTCCTTTTCCATCTCTATTCTTACGCTTCTTTGTCTCCCTATCTCCATCTTTGCCAAAGGTTTAGTCTAATGGTATGGTTGTGTTGCTATGGCTGAGAGGGTATACATTGGAGAAGGATGGCGCAGCCCTGGCCTATCACTCTGACTGAGACCTGTAGCAGCTCCAAAATGAGACTGAGAACTTGGTTCTTGGAATTCAATCGGTTTTCACTTTGCAGCCCTCACTTATACCTCTCGATACAGACAAATTGCTCTTTAAACTCAGCACGGATGCCTGTCAGTCCAAAGCTTTCTAACCCCTTGAGGGATTCAGATAGATAGAGGCTGAACCAGGTCAGAGACATCCAGACAGCATGCATGGCCAGTCTAAACCGTCAGACCGCTACTAGACATTGGGGGATAAATTATTTACTGAACAGATAGACAGTCGTTACACGAGGTGCCTTCCTATGCTTACATGGCTGGTTGGTGTTGGTCTCTCCATTGGCAGGTCTGGGGGTAGGGTATCTGACTAGGCTACTTCTGTGTGGCTTTGGCCCCTAGCCCCCCAACACACACACACTCGCTATGGCGCCTGGCTCACACACACTCCCCACCTGGGAGTCAAACACCAAGGCCGGCAGACGCCAAGCCCTAACCTCTGTCTAGGTGTGTGTGTGTGTTGGCAACTGAGTGTGATGAAATGCAACCCAGACAGAGGGGAGAGAAAGGGCAACTAAAAGGACAACGAGAGAGAGAGGACAAGACAACAGAGAGAGAGAGAGAGAGAGAGAGAGAGAGAGAGAGAGAGAGATGATAGAAGAGAGATATCTAGAGAGAGAGAAGAGAGAGAGAGATGAGAGAGGAGGAGCGAGAGAGAGAGGATCTGCGAGATGATCTTCTCTCTCTCTTCTCTCTCTTACTTTCTCTATCTCTCTCTCACTCTCTCTGCGCGAGATTAGAGAGAGAGAGAGAGAGAGGCGTTTCCATCTCCCCATATGCCCCCCCTAGGCACAACTACGACATCATAACCAACTAAAACTGGTCACAACTCCTGCAGCTCTGTCGCACACTGGTTATGTACATAGTCAATGGTAGGCTTCGAAGGGACTCCTATGGTAGGTACACCTATAGCTCATCTCTTGGCAGTAGTACTGTTGACTACTTTATCACTGACCTCAACCCAGAGTCTCTCAGAGCGTTCACAGTCAGCCCACTGACACCCCTATCAGACCACAGCAAAATCACAGACTACTTGAACAGAGCAATACTCAATCATGAGGCATCAAAGCCAAAGGAACTGAATAATATTAAAGAAATGCTATAGATGGAAGGAAAGTAGTATCGAAACCTACCAAAAAACAATTAGGCAACAACAAATTAAATCCCTTTTAGACAACTTCCTGGACAAAACGTTCCACTGTAATAGTGAAGGTGTAAACTTGGCAGTAGAAAACCTAAACAGTATATTTGACCTCTCAGCTTCCCTATCAAATCTAAAAATCTAACAGAAAAAATAAGAAAAGTAACAATAGTGACAAATGGTTTGATGAAGTATGCAAAAACCTATGAAGGAAATTGAGAAACCTATCCAACCAAAAACATAGAGACCCAGAAAAGCTGAGCCTACGCCTCCACTATGGTGAATCACTAAAACAATACAGAAATACCCTACGAAAAAAGAAGGAACAGCATGTCAGAAATCAGCTCAATGTATTTGAAGAATCCATAGACTCTAAACACTTCTGGGAAAATTGGAAAACACTAAACAAACAACAACACGAAGAGCTATCTATCCAAAACGGAGATGTATGGGTAAACCACTTCTCCAATCTTTTTGGCCCTATAACAAAGAACAGCAAAAAATATATACATGATCAAATGCTAATCTTAGAATCAGCTATTAAAGACTACCAGAACCCACTGGATTCTCCAATGACAGTGAATGAACTACAGGACAAAATACAAACCCTCCAACCCAAAAAGGCCTGTGGTGTTGATGGTATCCTCAATGAAATGATAAAATATACAGACCACAAATTCCAATTGGCTATACTTAAACTCTTTAACATCATCCTTAGCTCTGGCATCTTCCCCAATATTTGGAACCAAGGACTGATCACCCCAATCCACAACAGTGGAGACAAATTTGACCCCAATAACTACCATGGGATTTGCGTCAACAGCAACCTTGGGAAAATCCTCTGCATTATCATTAACAGCAGACTAGTTCATTTCCTCAGTGAAAACAATGTACTGAGCAAATGTCAAATTGGCTTTTTACCAAATTACTGTACGACAGACCCTGCGTATTCACCCTGCACACCCTAATTTTACAAACAAACAAAACAAAGGCAAAGTCTTCTCATGCTTTGTTGATTTCAAAAAAGCTTTTGACTCAATTTGGCATGAGGGTCTGCTATACAAATTGATGGAAAGTGGGGTTGGGGGGAAAACATACGACATTATAAAATCCATGTACACAAACAACAAGTGTGCGGTTAAAATTGGCAAAAAACACACATTTCTTTCCACAGGGCCGTGGGGTGAGACAGGGATGCAGTTTAAGCCCCACCATCTTCAACATATAATAATAATAATAATAATAACATATATATCAACGAATTGGCGAGGGCACTAGAACAGTCTGCAGCACCCGGCCTCACCCTACTAGAATCTGAAGTCAAATGTCTACTGTTTGCTGATGATCTGGTGCTTCTGTCACCAACCAAGGAGGGCCTACAGCAGCACCTAGATCTTCTGCACAGATTCTGTCAGACCTGGGCCCTGACAGTAAATCTCAGTAAGACAAAAATAATGGTGTTCCAAAAAAGGTCCAGTTGCCAGGACCACAAATACAAATTCCATCTAGACACCGATGCCCTAGAGCACACAAAAAACTATACATACCTCGGCCTAAACATCAGCGCCACAGGTAACTTCCACAAAGCTGTGAACGATCTGAGAGACAAGGCAAGAAGGGCCTTCTATGCCATCAAAAGGAACATAACATTTGACATACCAATTAGGATCTGGCTAAAAATACTTGAATCAGTTATAGAACCCATTGCCCTTTATGGTTGTGAGGTCTGGGGTCCGCTCACCAACCAAGAATTCACAAAATGGGACAAACACCAAATTGAGACTCTGCATGCAGAATTCTGCAAAAATATCCTCTCTGTACAATGAAAAACACCAAATAATGCATGCAGAGCAGAATTAGGCCGATACCCGCTAATGATCAAAATCCAGAAAATAAACGTTAAATTCTATAACCACTTAAAAGAAAGCGAATCCCAAACCTTCCATAATAAAGCCATCACCTACAGAGAGATGAACTTGGAGAAGAGTCCCCTAAGTAAGCTGGTCCTGGGGCTCTGTTCACAAACAAAAGCAGACCCCACAGAGCCCCAGGACAACAACAACAACAACACAATTAGACCCAACCAAATCATGAGAAAACAAAAAGATAATTACTTGACACATTGGAAAGAATTAACAAAAAAACAGAGCAAACTAGAATGCTATTTGGCCCTAAACAGAGAGTACACATTTAAATTTACGTCATTTAGCAGACGCTCTTATCCAGAGCGACTTACAAATTGGTGCATTCACGTTATAGCCAGTGGGATAACGACTTTACAATATGGTTTTTTGTTTTGTTTTGTTTTCTTTGGGGTGGAGTAAGGGGGGGTAGAAGGATTACTTTATCCTATCCCAGGTATTCCTTAAAGAGGTGGGCTTTCAAGTGTCTCCGGAAGGTGGTGAGTGACTCCGCTGTCCTGGCGTCGTGAGGGAACTTCTTCCACCATTGGGGTGCCAGAGCAGCGAACAGTTTTGACTGGGCTGAGCGGGAACTGTGCTTCCGCAGAGGTAGGGGGGCCAGCAGGCCAGAGGTGGATGAACGCAATGCCGTCGTTTGGGTGTAGGGACTGATCAGAGCCTGAAGGTACAGAGGTGCCGTTCCCCTCACAGCTCCGTAGGTAAGCACCATGGTCTTGTAGCAGATGCGAGCTTCAACTGGAAGCCAGTGGAGTGTTGTTAGATTAATTTGTATTTTAAGAATAATGACTAAAGGATTTCACCACAAATACAGTATAAATGTGTGAACGGTGTTAAGAGTTATAATGTAGTGGCAAACCACTAACAGAGGGGGGCGAGACTAAACATTCCAGGGTGAAGGAGACTGCGGAAACTGTTTAAAAAAGCCTCCTAAAGGTGGGTGGAGCAAAGTGCCTTTGTGTGTCAAGGGGTATAAAACAGTATGTATGGGTTTTTGGAGCCAGAGCTTTCCATGAATAAAAATACAGATCATTCTTGCTGGTTGTGGACCTTGGATCATTTATGATTAAAACCAGAGCCTTACAACCCCTGGTAATGATTCAAGCTTAGGTTGAATTAGAGATAGAAATTCTCATGACAAGTGTGCGGAGGAGCGGGGTGACGTGAGAGAACTTGGGAAGGTTGAACACCAGATGGGCTGCGGCATTCTG